TAAACAAATCTCTGGCTTTATAGTGACATAAGAGTAGAAAGGTAAACTAAATTGTAACAGCTCAACAAAGGGACATGACATTTGCTCCATAAAAACAAGTCAAGCTGCCTTTGAAATGCCAGAGAATGTATAAATTGTACTTCAACACTGGATGCCCAGGGAATTTCTTTTACGTAAGTACTATTTAAGAAGGAAAAAACCAATCAAGTCAAAAATTTTCACTTGACATTTGTGGTTCTCTACCCTCTGCTCATAGGAATCATATTGGAGGTGGAAAGAGGGCTGCCACTGGCCTTCCCTTCCCAGAGGTTCTGATTTCATTTGTCTAGGTGGATTTGAACATTTCTGGAGCTGGCTCATGTGCAGAGTGGTATATATCGTCCACATATGCCATTCATAGGTGCATGTGAGTGTGGGTGTGTGTGCACGCACGCACGTACATGTGCTTGTGTACCCTGGTACAACCTCTTAGGAAGCTGAGATCCGAGGATGGAAATTCAAAGCCAGGCTGAGCAAGAAAGCCTGTGAAACTCTTTTCTCTAATTAACCACCAAAAAGCCCAGTTGCCGTTCAAAATGACAGAGCACTAGCCTTAACCACTAGCTCAGGAACAGCACCCAGGCCCTGAGTTCAAGCCCCAGGACTTGAACAACACCAAAAAAAAGATAACAAAAAACAAAAACCAAAAAAAACAGATGCCTTGGATCTGCTTGGTTTGGGGTGAGGCAGTGGGTGAATTCTTAGTGACAGTTTTCTAATGTGCTTGCAACTTCAACCAGAGCTGAGCACCATGATGCACAAGTCCTTTAACCACAAGGTAAAGATTTGTCTGTGAGTGTGCAGGTGTGTGTCTGGAGAATGTGTGTACAGGAATGAGCCTGGAGGTGCCATGCCTAGCCCAAGAGAGTAGTGGGAATTCACACTTTGTCTCAGATTAATTCTGAAACATGGAAGCAATGCAAACACATATGTCCCTGTTGTGTTAATTAGTCCCCGCTGGTTGTTCTGTGCCCACAGACAAGGAGGGATGCCAAGCGTCTGGGATTGCGGCCCGTGTTAATTCCCTGCCGGCTTTCTAGAAACACAAACAACAGGTAAGAGTGCCTGGAACCGTAACAACATCCAGCATTCACACATGGGAGAAAATTAATCGCAGTCTCACTAGCACTTTATGGATGATGTCACTTAATCCTCACAAGAGTGAGATTAATTCTTTCTACTTTAGAGACAGAAAAGCTGAGAGTCAGGAGAACTTAAGTAACTTGCTTCAAGGGTCCAAAATGACTGTACCCTGGTGCAGGCATGGGTGCAGTGGGAGGGGCCATGTGGTCTCTCTGGGGATTAAGACTAAAGAAAGGGGGCCAGGAGGGCTGAATTTTCCTCTACACATCAGGGAGTCAAATTACAGTTCCAACTCTCTTAGAATGAAGGCTCCTAACCTTGGTAAGAAGAGGTCCACTGTGCCATCAAAGGAGTGGAATCCTAGCAAGTCAGTACCAGCCTGTCACTTTGAACCATCTCATTACTCTGGACTCTTTTCTCAAGTTAGTGACACAGTCACCAAAATAACAATAATATTAATTAATTAATTTAATTAATAATCTTCAAAGTAGTCCAACAAGAAGTGCAACAGTCTGAGACAAGGATTTGACAGAGCACAAAGGACTTACAAAGTTTGATCCATGGACTTGATAATTGCCTTAAAGGGGCTCAATTTTTTTGATGTTCTCAGATTCTCAAGCTATATAATTTGAGCCCCATCAGTAGACACAGCAGTAAGTTAGAATACATGTATTTCAGTCCCCTGAAGGCACATTCAAACACAGATCGTTGGACTCAGAGAATCCAGTTTAGTAGGTCTGGAGGTGGCCAGAGAATTTATCTTTCCTTCCTTCCTTCCTTCTTTCCTTCCTTCTTTCCTTCCTTCTTTCCTTCCTTCCTTCCTTCCTTCCTTCCTTCCTTCCTTCCTTCCTTCCTTCCCTCCCTCCCTCCCTCTTTCCTTCCTTCCTTCCTTCCTTCCTTCCTTCCTTCCTTCCTTCCCTTTTCTTCTTTTTCTTTTTTTTGTTTTCAGGTAGACTTCTGCATTTTTAAATTTAAAAAAAAATTTTTTTTTGCTCAGACTGGTCTCAGATTTCAATCCTCTTTATAACCTACTGAGAAACCAGGGCTGATAGGCCAGACAATGTTTGGCTTATTGGTTGAGATGGGGTCTCATCACATTTTTGCTAAGGCTGGCCTTAAACTTCTATCCTTCTGGTCTCTGCCTCCAAAATAGCTGGGATTATAGATCTGAGTTGCCATACTCAGCAGGAAATTTACATTGTGGACAAGCTCCCAGTGGTGCTGACCTTGCTGGTATAGGCATGGATTCACTGAAGCCTGAGGTAACTGGACATATTTTCTAGGTCTTCACCTCTTCTATAAGCCACTTCTGCTCAATTTAAAGAAATCAGATGGGAAAAATCATCATGGGCTAGAGGCATGGCTCAAGGGCAAGGCCCTGAATTCCAATCCCAATATTACACAAACAAATGAATCACCGTTGAGACATTACCTTATTCTTTGTTACATGAATTTAGGTACTTTTAAGATTGGTGCTGACACTCTCCATGTGATAGAGTCTAAGTTCAGACAGATTCACAGAGAAGTAAAACAATAGAGAAAAACTCCTGGGAGCCACATATAAAAAGACTTATTTCATGAGAACAAAATAAGTTTGGAAAAGTATGAAAAAGCACAATTAAATTTTTAATACTGTTAGCATGTGGTACAAGTACAGCTTGTGCTAAATCTACTTATGCCACATTTGCCCTTTAGGACATAAAGGAAAATTTCAATGCAAGCCATATGGAGAGATTTGCAAATGTGAACACTTTGAAGTAAGTATGTATGCAGTATATCTTATTCCAATATGGTTATCATATTTATCACTTAGAAGGCCCAAAGCACACAAGATCATCAATTTACATGAGATACAGTTACTATTGAACATTTCCAACTCCTGAATAAAAGTCAATTAGCCTATTGGGGTTGGCTCATAAAAATTATCTTAGAGCTACAAAACAATTATGAAGTTGTATTCATAATGTTGCTTAGAGCTTCCCTGAGAAAGATCTGAAGACTTCATATTTAAGTGTAATGAACAGGCCTAACATTCTCCACTAAACACTTGAAAATTAAGATATCGTTGAATGACCCTGAAGCCTTTCCTTCTCCATTTTCTCTTTCCTTCAACCACTCACCATCCCCACACTATTCTCTCTCAAAGGAATTCTGTGCACAAAACTAAAAAAAATGAGGAAACAGCATCAAAGTTTTTATTATGATGTGCATTCAACACATTGGAATCCTAAGGAAAACAAAAATCATAATAAAAAAAGTCATAAGATAAAAATCATAGCTGAGCACCAATGGCTAGTTACTTAGGAGGCTGAGATCTGAGGATCATGGTTTGAAGTCAGCCTGGGCAGAATAGTCCATGAAACTCTTATCTCCAATTCACCACCCCCAAACTGGAAGTGGGGCTGTGGCTCAAAGTGGTAGAGCACTAGTCTTGGGCACAAAAGCTCAGAGACAGTGCCCAAGCCCTGAGTTCAAGCCCCATGACTGACAACAACAACAAAAGAATCATAATAAAAATTATTATTGGTCTAGTGTGATAATAAATAGGTGGCTCATATCTTGCCTAATACCTTGAGCTAGTATAGGCTATTATATGAATGTGTAGAAGTTAGAGAAGTTAAAAAGAAAACTCACACAAAATTGAAACTTCTGCTTAGTTAATATAACTTACCTTAGAAGGCAACAAGTGGCTTGTATTTGTATTTCATTTTTAATTAGACAACTCTCATTTGGATCCTTGCTTTTCAACATACTAGATATTTATTTGTGAGGCAGAAGTGATAATGTCAATGAAAAGATGTACTAAATTGAGTAAGTGTATACTGTGTATACTGTGTATACTGAGTAAGTGTATACTGTGACAAATGCTCAATAAAGTTTATTTTCTTCACTTTCCTCTGAATTTGTTCTTTCTTCTCCCATTATAACATGGCATTTTCTTTTAGAGGATATAGACTTCCTTTTGGTTAGCACAGATTTCATTCAAGAATGTTTAAAGTTGTTTTGTGCTGATATCGTCTCACTTTCCTCAAAAGCACTGTTAATCCATTGTGAAGTACTTCTTTCATTTTTATAATAAACGGTGCTCTGGGTAGGCTTATTTTTAATAATGAGGAAGATTCACTTACAATATTTTAGAGCCAGTTGCCAATGGCTCATGCCTGTAATCCTAGCTACACAGAAGGCAGAGCTCTGAGGAACATAATTCAAAGCCAGCCCAAGCAAGAAAGTCTGTGAAACTCTTTTCTCCAATAAAATATGAAAAACTTGAAAGAGGAGTTCAGCTCAAGTGTAGAACACTAGCCTTGAGCAACAAAACTCCGAGAGAGTGCCCAGGCTCTGAGGTCAAGCCCTAGGACCAGCACAAAAATAAATAACCAAATAAAATATTTTATAGTTGAAAGTTTGTAAGCACAGACAGAAACAATAAATACCCAGAATGTGGTTTTCCTTCCATTTTCCAGCCCAGGTTACTGATTCTGGCCTCTAGTCTGTTACATGCGAACATTTCAGTCTAGAGAGGGAGTCTCCCTCCAGTCTTTTGAGGAGGTTCAGTGTTCAGAGGCTCAGCATTCACTATTGTCTTGATAGATGGCCTCATAATTACAGATTGATGACTAGTTAACAAGGACCCTAAGAATCTTCTCCAGCAATGGAGCCATTATCTTCTGGCACAGAACTCAATCTGAGCACCATCTTTGTACAAGTAGTAATGAGGAGACCCAGCTTGGACCCGTTAGAGGATTCTCTCGGTGGGGCAGTATTACAGTGAGTGACCCATGCTTACATAGAAAGCCGATGCCTACAGGTTGCACATTATTTTCTAGGAGATATTTTAAGTTAGAAATGGAGTAGTAGTAAAAAGCAGTGGCACTCACCTGTCCGGGCTGCTCGCAGGCTGTTTGGTACCTGGCCTGCTGGCACAGTTCCTTGACCCTCTCATATTTGGGCAAATGATTTGATTGTTGGATATTCTTGTTAGACTCTTCCTTCTTGCGTAGAAATTTGCTTTGACAAAAAAAAGAAAGAAAGAAAAGCTTTGTGTGTGAGAACTGATTCGAATTACCTTCCCTGAGTTCTGCTTGTTCCCTTTTCCTTCTTGTCACATGATTCCATGGCAAATAACAAGGTGTGGTTAAGGCTTTGTATAGAGGAGTCCTTCACCAAACCTCCAAGCTGGGTTCTTTGTCAAGATAGAAAGAATCCCCAAAAGCATTAGTAAAACCTTGTGCAAGTTCTTTTTGTTAACAAACAACTATATAAATACCTTTCTCTCTCCTAATTTATGTAAAGAAAAAACATCATGGCAATGAATAGTCTAAGTCAAAAAGGGAAACCAGAAGTGACTATGGAACTAATTACAATGGCATGAATTTACATATTTAAAACAATGAAAGGAGCATAAGGAAAAGAGGTAGAAAGTCAAAAATTGAGCAAGCCTTGGAGGCTGCATGGAGGAAGACAGGAAGGATGGTTGAGGAAGAAACGAGAAGGCCAGAGGAAAGCTTTACACATTGAGAGTTTCTGGTCCCATCTTAAGAGATTTATTCTCTAAGTTCTGATGCAGGATTAATTACTTCAGTATCTAATAGCAAACAAGTAACAAACCATTCAATCTCACTACTAAGCTGGAGAAATCTGCATGCTTAGTGAATCAAAATAAAGAGAAAAAAAATACCCAATAAGCAAAGTGGCCCACTAGGACAGTTCCCAGAAACACCCCAGGAACCAATAATTACCCTCTTTCCACTAGGAATGTATCGCGCCAAATTTTGGCCTTCTTGTTTGTTCGAAACCTGAAAGCAAAATAATAATATTTACTGTTGGCATCTGGACATTTCTTCCAAATGGTTCTGTGCTAACAAGTTTATTTAAAGAAACACCTCTCACTTCCTGCAGCCCACGACTGCACCTCCGTCAATGTGGTATTCACCAACAGCTCAAGGTAATTTTCATGAGCAAAGCATACTTTGCCTCCACTTGTTGTAGCTACTGGCTGGCTCTGGCTCCGGTGAGGGAGTTCAATGTGCTTGGAGCTGGCCGAGAGAAAGTGTTTTCACGCACCTGTTACCTGGCTTTTCCAGGTCCAGAAGTTTGAGGACAGACTTGCCATCCACATCGGGAGGTGTATCAAGCCCTGCAATATCCAGGATCGTAGGGGCCAGGTCGATGTTAAGAACAATCTGTGAGACGCTGAAAAATCAGAGACAACAGTTACAGCCTGAACACTGTAGAGGGTGGCATTTAGGGCTGCCCTTCCCACAGCAGTGACTCATTGACCTCTACCTCCTCACCTACTCGTCTAGTCTCCTAAGGAAGGGCAGTGGCATTTGGCCAAAATGAGTGAACAGCCATCAACAATGCTGCTTCTGAGCAAGATTAATTGACTCTCGTGGGGTTCAGGCTGGAGAGATGCCCTCAAAGCTCTGGCTGCATAGCTGGACAAGATAGGAACTGACTCATGGTTTCTGTGGGATACATGCTTTTTTGGAAAACCAGATGGTCCCTATCTCCTCTATTGAACTGGGCCTTTAGCATCAATATTCTTAATAAATGGTTTAAAGAAAAAGTGCACAGTTTTTAGTGTTGAATATAATTTTAAATATAGAGCTTTCTAACTAGATAGAATTGTTCCAAGGTGTTTTTGTCTGTTGTTTGTTTGTTTGTGTTTTAACTGATCCTGGGACTTGAACTCAGGGCCTGGGTTCTGTCCCGAAGCTTTTATGCTCAAGGCCAGTGCTTTGTTATTTGAGCCACAGTTCCACTTCTGGCTTTTTTAGTAGTTTATTGGAGATAAGAGCCTCACAGACTTCCCTGCCCGGACTGGCTTTGAACAGCAATACTTAGATCTCAGCCTTTTGAGTAGCTAGGATTACAGGCATGAGCCCCAGTGGCTGGCTTCCAAGAAGCTTTTTAATGATTACATAAAACATAACACTGTTGTTCAGAGAAACCTTACTTCCTCCCATCATCTTCTCCCAGGATACACCATGGCACATGGGACTTATGGGTAACATTTAGAATCCTGGGCTCTAGGCCCCCAGCTTCAGAAACAAAATCTCTGAAGCAGGTCTTACACCACCTGTCCAACTTCTCCAATGGTCTAGTAGGGCACGAATTAGGTGCTGTTTTGAATATTCTTTTCTTTCACTCTTTCCAATTGTTTCAAAACACTTTATACAAAACATTCTGAAATGATTAGCAAGGCATGTGAAACCAATTTTGCAATGGTAAAACAAGGGTGGAAAGAGCTGCAGTGATCAACCTAAGGAGCAGAAACAACTCTAGTTCCCTCTTTTCTTGGAAGTATCTAAAGGGGAAAATGATAAAGGGGTCATACCCATCATGATGCATAGTACTTGTAAATTGATGTGTTGAATGATACTTACCATTTGTACAACTTCTCAAAGATATTACAAATTTAATTTAAAAAGAAAAGTATCTTTATTTTTTTGAGGAAAGTAAGGCACTGTAACATTTCATTTTCTTTAAAAAAATTATGGTAGTAATTTTTAAAAATTAAAAAGTAAAGCCAGGTGCCAGTGGCTCACACCTGTAATCCTAGCTACTGAGGAGACTGAGATTTGAGGAGCAAGATCCAAAGCCAGCCCAGGTAGAAAAGTCCTCATGAGACTCTTATCTCCAATTAACCACTTGAAAACCAGAAGTGGAGCTGTGGCTCAAAGTGGTAGAGTACTAGCCTTGAGCAAAAGAGCTCAGGGATAGCACCCAAGCCCTAAGTTCAAACCCCACAACCACCAACAACAAACACCAACAACAACAAAAAAGGAGGAGGGCAGCAACGACCTTTTCTACAAATAACAGTACAGCTCTGATTCTGAGAATGTAAAGATGATGATCTGAAGGATTACATTCTGACAGTGGACACAGACAAAAAGACATAGATTCTGGTTAATTGAAGAAAACTAGCCATTGATACCGTTATTTTGCCTTTCCCTTTATACAGTATGCTTATGTTACCTTAACACATGGCAGGGGGAAAGGTTTTCATTTTCTGAATTACCAACTCCACAGACACTTTTTTAGTTTGGGTTGAAAGGAAACCAGACACTGGATTAGCAATGGCATGATGTCAGACACATGAGCTGCAACAGCTAAATCCTACAGAGAAATACGTACATGGCTCCTGGTTCTACACTTGGACCACGAATAAAGAAGGGCACACGGATATCAAAGTCATATGGCATGGACTTCCCTTTGACCAGTCCAAACTGCCCAATATGGTAGCCGTGGTCGGCGGTGTAGATGATATAAGTGTTGTCCAGCTCCCCAGTCTCCACCAGCATGTTATAGAGCTGAAACACAGTGCACAAGTCAGAGTCAACTGTCACATAGCATGGCACTCTGTAATATGACTGTGGTTTCTACCCACTTCTTATTTTCCTTTTTTGGAGGGGGGGGAGAGAGATTGGTGCCAGTGCTGGGTCTTCAACTCAGCATGTAGCCACTGTCCTTTTTTGTTGCTCAAGGCTGGTGCTTTGACACTTGTGCCACAGCTCCCCTCCTGGATTTTTGGTGGCTAATTGCAGATAAGAGTCTCAAAGACTTTTCCTGCCCTGGCTGGCTTTGGACTGTAATCCTCATATCTCAGCCTCCTGAGTAACTAGGATTATACATGTGGAGTCATCAGTGCCTGGCTTCTTTAAGCCAAGAGTTGCTCTAGTAAGGTGAAAAAGTGTCTGAACATGCTCCACCTTTTCTCACTGCTTACAATTCTGGTGGGAAAAGATCCAGTGACATATTTGAAATGTAACTTTTTTGAATCTGGCACATGTCACTTGAGGCTTTGCTTGTTTGATAAAACAGCAAACGAAACAACATCAAACCACAGAACAACCTCTCTACCACCAAAACTTCATAGACTTTACTTTGAAAATCCATTGTTAAGGCAAATTTTAATGTTAGTACTCTTTTGTCTAATTATTATGGTTAAAAACAGGCAGCCTCTTAGCCTTACATATGTATTTCTTGCCTTATTCTAGATTTTAAAATTGAGGAAATTTCAAATCTTTTTTTTTTGTAGTTCTGATTTCTATTAAATAAGCAAAAAAAAGCCTTCATGATACTCGATTCACATTTCCACATGGTTAAAATTAGCTACAGCTAAATAGTAGTTGTTTTAGACAAGGCACTTAATTTTAAGTTCAACAACATCATTACCAATCTTTATTGCCTTATACTACACTTGTCTTAGTCATTTAAATCATTTGCTTAATTTCTGAAGATATTAGAGGACAGAACCTTTAATTTATGTTTTTATTTTTCTCTCTTTTGTCACTGGCTCTTTAAGAACTAAACCTGGAGAAGAATAAGGGAGTAATAAGTAAGTTGCTGATCTGGATATTTCTCTACCCCGCTCCCCTCCATTTCCCCTCCCTTACTTCTCCTTCCCTTTCTGTCTCTGTCCCTACATGGATATTGGGATATGAAAGAAATAAGCAGGAATGGATTTATGCAAATGAAGCCCAACATGAACCTTTCCCTGGAGTGGATTCATATCCTCACCCGTTCCACAGAATCATCCACTGACATCAGAGTCTGGAGCCTTTTACGCTGTAGAACATTTGTAAATTCCATGTGGATGGGCAGCATTGGTCCTGTGTACTGCATAATCCAGTGTTTATCCATGTTGGGTGCATAGTTATAACTTGGAGTTCTGAAAGTATCCAGAAAAGACTCTTACTATATACATACACATTAAAAAAATTTTTTTTACTTATCCATTCAGAAACAAGTTGAAGATTGTTAAATAATCACTCAGAAAGGATAATTTAAACCCTATTAAAAAGATCTGAAACCCTCACCACTGGAGACAGCATCCATCCTGTGAAGGTACCAGAACTCACACTGAGAAAACCAGGCCTGGCCGCTGACATATCATTAGTATAAGTTCACATGGGTTCAGTAACTGAAATGCGTAAGAAATACATCTACATGATTATGTTTATGTTACAAATCTACAGATACAACTCAATAATACAGAAGGGAATGTTCTCAGGGCAATGTTAACTCGTAAAAATTTTATTGCTAGTTATTTAAAAAAACCTATAGAATATGATGTCAACATATTTTTTTCTTCCCTCGTGAACCTCTTGAGTATCTTATTGGTTTCTCATAAATGTCCATGAGTTTTTTGCATTCCGTTGTATATTGAAACCATTAATTTAATTATCTTTGCTGGAATTTCAACCAAGACTATTTCTGAAGTTTACACATTTACCAATTTATACATTTAGACAACAAGTTGATACGGGTTTTCAAGACACAAATTTTGTATACTACAGGGAAGCACATTTTATTGTGCCAGATTAAGTTAGTTTAAGTCTGTATCTACGCCACCACAGAGATCTAAGAAACATGGCATACTTTCCAGTGGAGACTCACAAAATATGTCATTTTTTCCCCTTAAAGGTTTATCCAACCCTCTGCCAGTAGATATTACTACCTCATGTTCTTAACGTGCTAGAGAGGTTCTTACATTAAGAACAATTTGTTCTAGAACTTTCTACTGGACTTGAGTCTTTTCTTTAAATGTTGTTAAGCACATGGTAGTCATATTTACCACATGTGAAGTATTGTGTAGTCTTTGATATACGTTGTCTCATTTTATATCTTAGTTGTTCTGGGAATTGGGTTTATTGTCCCCATCTAAAGATGAAAATATTAAGGCTTAGCCATTAACAAAAGTGGTAGAATGAAAACAGGATTCCAAAGCTCACTTGCTGTAGACAAATGAGCAAGATTGAAGTGAAAGTCCTTCCTACATCTGAGATTGCTTTGAATATAATATCTTTTTTTAAGGAGGAAATAGACCACTTAAATAGTTCTACCATCAGTAAAATAGTTGATTCAGAAATTACTTTTTCCAGAAATTCTTCACCTGCTAGATGGAAGTGTGTACTTCTTTTATTTTTAATTTTTTTATTGTAAAAATAGTGTACAGACAGGTTATAGTTACATGAGTAAGGTAATTTCCTATGGAGCATTGTTACCTCCTCCTTTGTTTTTCCCCTACTATCCCTTTCCTTCCCAACTCCCCTCTCCCCACAAAGTTGTAAAGTTCGTTTTCTACCTAGTGTCTTGTACATCTCATTGTTACAATGGGTCATCCTGTATCCTTGTTTCAGCATTTTGTTATTTCTCTTCCCCTTCCCAAATTAGAAACATGTATATACAAGATGCAGGTCACCAACATCAAATACAGTGAATGAATATAATATCTTGAATGAAATAGCCAGTCTCCCAAAGTAAGCAACCATCTATGTTCATTGAGAAATCTGGTTACTCCATCTCTATTTTGGGGAGAAACCCATCAGTGAATGACCGTGGATACAGTTAACTAAAAGGGACTCCAGGATCCATCAATAGAAATGAAACCCAGTGCTTTCATGAGACCTGACTAACTGGTGGTGCTGTGGTGACTTTCTAATGAGGTGAATGAGTTTACACTAGAACATTTCTCATGTACAGTGAGCCATAAAAATGTCAGCTGTCATCACTCATTTCCTTCTGCTAGGAGAATTTGACACTCTCCCTTCATACTGTGGAGAATGCTAACAGCAGTGCCATTGGCCTTCTTGTTACAAGTTACTCTGAGATCAGTACAGATGCTTGTTAGTGAGCAGACATGCAACAACACAAGTACCAAATGAGCTCAACAGACAAGTTAGGCTCAGCAGGGTTGGCCAACGTCATCTAAAGGGACACTTTCAAGGAGTGGAAGAAGAAAGGGTGCAACTCGATTTGCTCATCTATAAATGGGGCTCATGTAAGGAAATATTTAAAGTGAATATTTCAAGGAAGATAGTTCAAGTATCGGGAGTATGCATAAAGAAAAGGGCAGAGAGGGGATCTAGAGAGAGAGAGAGAGAGAGAGAGAGAGGCGGGCCAACAGGTTGATTGTAATGAACAAGCTGAGAAGGGCAATCAAGTCTTCTTCAGCCTGGCCAGAGAAACAATTTGACCTTTTTCTTACAACTAAGGTCTCTTATTAAGGCAGACAAGTGAAGTATGATAGGTCAGAGGCCAGGGGGAGGATGGGAACAGGGGAAGGGGCTCTGGAATCTTTCAGGAAAGGTTTGTTTTTTGTTTTTGGGTTTTTTTTCCCCAGCATCTTGTAGCCAAATGGTACAAACCTTGGTTCACAGGTTATCTTTTTGACAGCCACAGGGTGCTTTGGGGGAGGGAAAGGTGAGGGGAGATGATTCAGCATGGTTGGCAGCAAGGGAAGGTCTGGTGTTTTCAGGATGTTGCTGTCAAGAGGGGAGATGAGTTTTTCCAGTTTAAGTCATTTTTCCATCAGCTCATATATCTATTTTGGTTTGAGGAATGACTATATATACATATTTAAAATGTCTTGAGCAGAGGCCCTTGATTTTCCTCCATGAGGCAATAAACAAATATAACCATCTGGGTGTCTGGGATCAAAATAAATCCTTTATAATATTAATATGCAAACTCTTCAGGTGTTACTTGCCATTTTTTGAAAAGGAAAATCTCTCTGTCTGTCTGTCTCTCTCTCTCTCCCTCTCCCTACCTCCTTTTCTCTTTTTCTCTCTCTGTATAGACTTTTCTCCCAGGGCTGGCCTTAAACTGTGATTCTCTGGATCCCAGCCTCCTGAGTAGGATTATAGGCATGAGCCACCAGCTCTAGACTTCAGAGAAAACCTTTAATTTACAAATCCTTTTCTACCTCCTAAATACATAGTTCATGGGCCACACAGGCCTATTATTTGGCCTGAAAGGATCCTGCTATATAGAACCGACCACAGTGGGAAGGAAATGGGTGAGGGAATGAAGTCTCTGTTTCTCATTCTTATGCAGCATGTCAAGTTACAAACAGGATTAGATTAAAAGGTTGAGGAGAAGGAGAGGGGAGGCTTCTAAATCCCCTTACAAAGAGGTTTTCACTCATGGGGGGGTAGTTTGAGGTCAAAGAAATAGAGCGAGTTGTTCTTGAAAGGTCTCCTAACCATTTGCTGATATGTGCCCTGTAAGAGAATATGGCTATAAAAGATTACACAGGGGTTCTTTCTAATAAACAGCCTCCTCTCACTGCCTTTGATGTTGGGTCAGCTTAATTTTAAAATAAATCTAGTTGACTTTTTTTAAACCACAAAACCTCAGCACAAATAAAAAAAATTATAATAGAGAGCCGACATGCAGGCTCACAGAGGGCAAATTACATCTTCTCCCCAGTACCTTGACGCTCTCAGGCCAGCCCACCTTGCCCTGTCGAGCTGGGAAGCTTGCAGCAAATTACAAGCCTCAAATTGGACTCCTGGATTTACCGAATGACATATGTTCAATCTGGTTTACATTAAAAGGGAAGAGTTCAGGGCCTGTTGTCAAAGCTGTCCATCCCTCCTCCCCTTGGCTGTCTTGGATTTCTGGATGGGGGGGGGAGACCTCCAACTCCAGGAATGGAATCTCAGGTGGGGTCCCAGCGGGTGGCAAGGAGGGGGACAGTTTGCTTTTTAAAGTTAGACAGACAGCCGCGGCATCCTCCAGAGCAGCTGCTGTTCTGGGACCTGCAGGTGGAAGGTCCAGGGTTAGTGGAACTGACAAGGTTGTTGAAAAGTGCTGTGGTTTGCCTCCTGCTGAGCTCTGCTCACTTCCTGGAAGATGCAGCCTACTGTTCCTCTAGTGAAAATCAAGGCTTCCTTCCCTAACCAGGGACTGACTTCAGATTATTTAAACCGGGCTTGGAGCTGTCTGTCAGCTGGAACCCAAGCCACTGAACAACGCAGTGGGAACTGTTTTAGGTTAAAGTGAAACAAAACAAAATACAGATGCTACCAGGTTTTGAATCACTCTGATGTTACTTTCTAGAACTCGACTTGGGACAGGTTTTTCTTTGTTATTCAAGCCTCGGTTTCTTCATCTGTAGAGTGGAAACAACAACTTCAAAGGAGCAAGTTCAGGACTAACTATCTCTTCCTTATAGGGACTTAGGAGAGAACTTATTATTCAGTTGTTCATCAGGGCATCTTGTCTCCATTGTACCAATGAGAAGGCAAGATGCTCAAGATTGGCACCTCTCATGATGACATCACACAATGATCTGCATCCTGAACCACAGCACTGCAGAGGGACTCAATGTCCTAGCCATTAAAAGGAGAAGGGATGAACACATTGGTTTTTTTGTGTGTGTGTGTGTGTGTTGTATGTGTGTGTTTTTTTGTTTTTATTTTTGTTTTTCTGTCCAGAGCAATTCCTTCAATCCTTCAACCTTCATCTTGACACAGACTATTCTGCTTCCCATCTAGGTGCCTCGAAGTTTCAATTTGGGGGGTGCAAATACAAACCCTCACTCTCTAAGACACATTGGGTATATCAGAGAGAAGGTGGGGTAACACTGGCTGTTGCTTTAAAGTAGGATAAGGCAAAGGACATACTGTTATGGTGATCTATGGCTCATATCTATAATCCTAGCTAATCAGGAGACCAAAATCTCAGAGTTGAAGTTAGGAGCCAGCCTGGCCAGACAAATCTGAGAGACTATTATCTTTAATTAAATAACCAAAAAAAAAAGCAGAAGTGAAGCATGGCCCAAATGGTACAACACCAGCAGTGAACAAAAAAGCTGAGAGACAGCATGAGGAACCGAGGTTAAGCCCTAGTATGGCACACACACACACACACACACACACACAC